ATTTTAATTTGTTTCATTTCTAAATTGTTACTAACTAATATTTATTCTTATGTTTAGAATGAAATAATTGGGATTATAGATAGACTTCCAGAAAATAAAAAACTAGACGTTAACAAAACTTTCAAAAGTCTGTTAATAATCATATAATCCCAGTTATACAAAAGGTAATTGATAGGAAGGCATTCCCAGTAGTTGATAATATAATCAGGCACATAATTCATGAGCGACATCGCCACCAAAGAGAAAACTTTTTAAATAATAAGAAAGGTACACATTGGAATGATATCGAGAAAAGAAGAAAATACGTTAATTCACAATGTACTGAAGTGAGTAAAAAAAAAAGTTTTGTTTTATGCTTTATTAATAAAAAATTCCTGATATATTTAGAAACGGGAGCGCCGGATGAAAACAATCAACAAATTCATAAAATTGAAAAATCCTTTAATAGAAAAACTTTATAACGATGAACTTCGACCGATCTGGACTGACAATAAATATCATAGTCTGAAAGTATCGGAAACAGATGATGAAAATCCTAATAAGTGAAAGATCGTCATCTGAGATCTTAAATGGAGATCTTCAATAGTAAGTTTATACAGTTGATTTTTTAAAATTGGAATATACTAATTTGGGCTTTTTTTTAGTTACGCATCTTTTTGCGAGAATTTATAGATAATGACTTTAACCTGATACGTAGAACAAGGAAACGGGTGTATAGTAATGACAAATTCACACCTGATGAAGAAGAAGCACCTGTTAATGCTCCTAGTTGGACAAGAAACGGATATAATGGATCTCTGAAATCATTTGCAAAGAGATATATTAGTATTCACTACTCTCCGTCTCCTTTTAGAAATAATAATATTAGAGAAAAAGATGTTGATAATAACATTTATATTAATGAAGCGGAAGATGAGGAGAGAGATAAAGAGGATGAGGAGAGAAATGAGGAGGAAGACGAGGAGGAGGATGATAATGTTGACGACGAAGAAAAAAGATTTTAAAGATCTAGGAGCCTGGTATCAGGAGAGTATAATAGTTATGAGGACTATTAGCATAGTTTAGTAATATATAAATTTTCTTTGTGTTGTAATTTTATTAGCTATATTGCGTAATACAAATAAATATCAATATTTAACGATGCGAAAAAACAATTTTATATAAATCGGGAATATATATTAAATTAAAAGTTATAAATCAGTAAATTATAATTAGATAAATGTTAATATATTAGGCATAAAATAGACATTCTTATTGATATCTGATATATTATTGATAGGTATCCTATTTGATTCTAAATTTTATACCTGATTGAAACCTTAGTGTACTCTTCTTGCACCATTTTATGACACTAATCGGGTTTCCCTATTGAATATCAATAATAAAAAATAGGGACCAATCAGAAGAAATTCGGAGACCCAGATTTCTTCTGATTGGTCTCCTATTTGACATCATTCGACCTGTGATAGTCTTTTACTTTATTTTGAACTAAAACTAAGGAATAACAATAAAATAAATTTGAAAGTTTTTATTTAGAATTTAATATAGAAATCAAATTTTACCAGTTAAAAATTTAAAAAGAAAATATTTTATTAATTAAGAATCTAAAAAAAATATTTTATCAGATTTGTTTAGAATTTATAAAATTTTTAGTTGTATATTTATTAAAAAATTGTAATAGATAAATTTAATACTTTAATAGATATTTTTTTTAAATCTAAATTTATATTATTATATTAATATTATTAATTTCTATATTTTTTCAGATCTCTATTTTTGAAATATTATTCAATAGACATTTTATAATGATAATGTAAATAAAAAAAATTAACACATATACTTTCTTATTCATTCACTTTTTTAATAATTATTTATCAATTAATAATTTTATTAATTATATGTGCTGATATATAAAAAAATTTTATTAGATGAAAATCTGTTTATTTTAAAAATTTTTATTGAGGATTTTTTAAAAATTCTAGATTTTGTTAGAATTTATAATACTATTTTAAGCTAGAAAATCTAAGATTTTTATTAAAGATTTTTAGTATACATGAAATATTAGAATTTCAATTTTAATATAAACAGGAATATTTTAAATAAGGAAATTGATTCTAGAATATTTTATTATAGATTTTTAAAATTTGATTAGCTCATATATACTGTATATTTTATATTTGTGTTTTAAAAATTTTTTTTACAATATTTGTTCAATATAAAAGCTTTTAAAATAGATAAAATAAGATGTTTAGCTTTTATAATTATAAATAATATCATAAAGTTAAGTCTATTTTATTAAAGTAAATAAGAGTTTAAACTAAATATTTACTTTATATACTATTAATTAGAGTAAATAAAAGAATACAATTTTATTAATTAAAACTAATAATAATTTAAATAATTTTTTTATAGTGTTTACTTATCTAAAACTTAAAGTAAGAAACCTTTAATGTATTTTTACAGATCTAGTTAAAAAATTTTTAAAATCTATATAAATGAAAAGTTAGCAAAAATTACAATTAATAGCAAATCTTAATAATCAAACTATATAAATATAAAATTATATAGAAGATCAAAAAAATAAAATAAAAGAGTTAAAAAGACAGTTAAAGATAGTTCTCATAATTATTTTCAAATTTTAATTGAATTACAACTTAATTGTCACTGGTTGAATAATGAACTTTTAGATAAATTTCAGAAATATGAAATTTATCTGATATTTCTATTTTTTTTCATCAATTCTAATTTAAAAGGAGTCTGATAAGTTCATATGATTTCTAACCAGTTTTTGACGTAGATCAGTATTAATTATATAACTATCAGATTAGTAAATTTCGAATAAATATCAGAATTGCCAAAATGGTATGATATATTAGCAATTTATTACTGAAAAAATTAACTGAAATATTTATAATATTTCAATAAATCAGATATGTATCAATCATTTTAAAACCCGATGCTCATTTCATTTATTTATTACATTTATATATATATATATATATTTATATACAGTTCTCGAAAAAAGTAATCAGAATTACAAAAAATGTAATAAATAAAAAATTAGTGATTGAAATTACTTTAAAT